AATCATTTTACAGTTCCTTGACCGGTGACACAATATCCGAGAGCGATTACGCGCACGCCGAGAACGTGTGGGAACGCCCTCTCCATTCGAACGCTGGGCGAATATAGCGACTTGTATTTAAAAATTGATGTCTTGTTATTAGCAGACATTTTTGAAAATTTCCGCAAAAGTTGTATTAAAAGTTATCGATGTTTTCGCGCAATGTACTCTCCAAGGAGCCGGGACAACGCGTCGATCCACTTGTAATTTCCATTAAGCGTAAACATTTTCCACATATTGTTCTTTAACGTTCGGTTGAATCGTTCCACGACCGAGGCTTTCATGATAGAGTACGTCGAATAATGATTAATGCTATGCTTCTTCACGACTTTCTGTACATTTGCGTCGTAAAATTCTTTTCCTCTGTCGGTTTGAAAATTTTTCGGGCATCTTCCATCGTCTCGAATTATCTTTGCGATCGTATCCGACATCTCGTTTCCACTCTTACTCTTGAGCTGTACAGCCCACGCATACTTGCTCAACAAATCGATAACTGTGAGTATGTAGTTGTAGCCTTTGTTGAATCATGCATATGGACGCATCTCGACTACGTCCGCCTGTCACAGGTCGTCGTATTCGTGTACTATATGACACGTCTACGTGGAAAATTTTTTCTCGCTGGAGCATGCAATTCTTCCACGAGCAGCTGTTTTTCAAAGGTCTTTTGCGACATATTTGATCGAGGCATAATTTGCAATAATGAGATAATCCCTCCACGTATATTCTTTATATATCTTTCTTCTCCTGCGCAGAATTAGATGTAGTCTGCGCGTGAGTTGCATACCGAAGCATTTTCTGCATCTCATCCATCATTATTTGCAGCGTTTGCACATTCGTCTCGAGCGTGATTAATTTTTTCTCAAGTTCTTCCAGTCTATCTTCTAAAGGCTTGAAACGTATTTTCACGTCCTGTTTGTTTGCGGCATCAGTATCATCTTCCGGTTGCGCTACCCGTCGTATTTTGCGCGACCTTGCGTCAAAGCCGGAGGCTGTCTGACACAGAGCGTTATCGCGCACGTAATTTCATAGTAATCCATTCCATTGATAGTATGAGTTGTTCGGTGTTCCCAACGTTAATCCAAATTTATTATTCGATATTTCGATACAAACAATAATGACAGACTGACTCGTTTCGCCGACGCATAGATTAATTTATAATAAGGCCAGTTTCGTAAAGTTCCTCGATAACTGATAATATTTCATTGTCGGGGGCATTGTTTCCGGCTTGACGCGAAGCTTCCAGCAATCGCAAGCGATCTACCAACTCGTTAGGATCATTCCGCGCAATGTGCTTTGACCCTCGAACGTTTGTAATAGATGTTGACCCGACGTCACAAGCGTTTCAGGCGTGGTTTCGAAAATTTCTTCCACATACGGAGACGATCTTTCGTACATTATTTGACTCGATTGTACATCTTTTATCGGAGTTGAAGTAACCACATTCGATAATTGTTTCATTCGCTTACGTTTTGATTGATTTGGAGTAGAAGTTATTAGCGAATCGTTCAATGATATATTTGACCTTGTTCGTTTTGTTGCAGACTCTTTTTTCAGATGCTTGTCTTCGAGCATACTCGATGGTTCGATTTTTGCTTCATTAGATTCCACATTGATTGTATTTTCGACAAGTTGTTTTAGAGGTTCGATAATTGGTTTGAAGTGCCTCTCCAATGCGACGTCTTCCTCCATTTGACCGGTTTTTAATGAACGATATTTTTTGCGGATCGATTCGCTCGTTTTTACAATCTCTCTCGCAATCTTCTCACGATCGTCACTGTCAATCGTCGTCGTCATGTTGCGCTCGGACGAAAATTTTTGGACGTTGCTCGATCGATGTATCGATAGCGACTAACCACTTTACGTTATTGCAAAATCGTTAAATCCTTTTCGATATTGTCCATTAGTCTGTAAACTGTCTTTATCAATCACTACAAATCCATACTCGTGTTGCCAACATTTCTGACAGAATGCGCGAAAATCGTCGTAAGACATGTCAGTATTTACATGATCGTTGTATACATGTTTCAAGTTTGTACCATCTTGTTTAAATAAAATTAGTAAATTTGCATTGTCCCGTATAAGATGGTTGGGTATTTTAGCATACGTTTGACAAAGATAGAAACAGTCGACGCTCGAGTGTCGACCCATTGCAAAGTACTCTCTTATCGTATCTTGCTTATGGCATGCCACGTCGTCAAAGATAAAAATGGAATTCGGAAGCGCCTCGCTCGGTGGAATAACGTCACTATTATTGGAGAATGTAAAATAACCAATTTCATCGATCGATAATAGCAAATTTTCCAAGTATCGATATTTCGGTTGTTGGAGTGATTTCGAGTATACGTACACATTCTCGAAATGTACACCGTGTGGACTTTCTATCAAACTTATCAACACGTTAGTCTTACCGCAATTCGAAGGACCGCAAATAATAATAGTAAACCGCGTATAGTAGTCAGCAGCATGTTTCCATGCTTGCGTATTTCTTTCTCGGACATTACTCGAGTTTTATCGTCAAAATTTATCACTTTGATTATCGTCGCTTGTCGCGAGAACCGCATGCTTACTCTCGCGAATCACAAATCAGATTTTGAAAAATGAGTCATCGGGTCCCTATTTATAGAGGCGCACCGAATCGAAACCGCTCAGTCTCAAAAATGTTTCTTCTTCTGTCGGTTGACAGCGATATTCTCGAGCTTACCACCGAGCAGTTACAGATTATCCTCAAGATTGTATTACTGCGAGACTTTGGTAGCTACGTGGAACAATTATGGGACAAGCTTCCCGAACATATAAAAGCTGACTCAGAGGTTCAACAGTATCATCGATGCACGCGACATTATAATTTGCCATGCCAACATAATCCATACTGATATTTTTATCTTGACTCAAAATAGCTCCCACATATTTTTGCCCTGTGGACCCAGATGTGTGCGCAATGTATTTTGACACTCGGACATTTGTAGTTGATATTGAACCGACGTCACAAGCGTTTCAGGCATGGTTTCGAAAATTTCTTCCACATACGGAGACGATCTTTCGTACAATATTTGACTCGATTGTACATCTTTTATCGGAGTAGAAGTAACCACATTTGATAATTGTTTCATTCGCTTACGTTTTGATTGATTTGGAGTAGAAGTTATTAGCGAATCGTTGAATGATATATTTGACCTTGTTCGCTTTGTTCCAGACTCTTTTTTCGGATGCTTGTCTTCGAGCATACTCGATGGTTCGATTTTTGCTTCATTAGATTCCACATTGATTGTATTTTCGACAAGTTGTTTTAGAGGTTCG